TAAATTCTTCGTTTTTGTAGGAGAAGGAATCGAAAGATGGCGATTGCTGCTTTAGGGCAGTTGAATCTCGAAGAACCTCCGCCATTTCTGGGTTCTCGTAATGTCGATTGCTTCAAGAAGCTACAACAGATTGGGGAAGGAACTTACGGGTAATTCTTCTTCTCGATTTCTTGTCTCTCTGGGTATATTGAAGTGATTTTAGTTGTAAGATTCTTGTATTGATCAATGTTTGAACAAGAATGCGTAAAAAAATCGATTCTTTGATGATCTCTGCAATTTCGAAGATAAAGTTTGTTGATTTAGTGAATTGGGTATTCTCTAATCGGATTTTTATGATTGACATGTGTTAGAGAAATGCAACTGTTGCATTTGATTTCCTTCTTCTTGGGAATTCAAGTTGTATATTTGGCATTTTTGGTTTGCAGCCAAGTTTACAAGGCTAAAGAAATCGAAACTGGTGAAATCGTGGCTTTGAAAAAGATTCGTATGGACGACCGTGAGAAAGAAGGGGTGAGAGCTACTATCCTTCAAATTCGTAGTAGCTGATCTATTTTTGCGGTCAAGAACAGATGCAAGTTTCTGAACTCTTATCACCAATTGGCATGAAGTTTCCTATAACAGCGATCCGAGAGATTAAGATCCTCAGTAAGCTGCATCATGAAAATGTCATCCGTTTGAAAGAGATTGTGGTTTCGTCAGGTAATATATATAAGGAACACTTGTCTCATCCTCAATCAGTTTTTGAAGAGAGGTGAAGTTTTTGATTCGGTCTGTTTTGTCTTTAAAAGGTCAAGAAGAGGCTAATCAAGGAGAGACAGGTTAGTGAAACTGATTCATGTTCTGCATTATTTGTTTGAAACTCCTTACGTTCTAAAGCTTGTGTGGTTTGTTCCAATTTTAGATAATAACAAATACAAAGGTGGAATCTACATGGTCTTTGAGTATATGGATCATGACTTGAGTGGACTTGTCAATCGTCCTAGATTGAAATTTACGGTTCCTCAGATTAAGGTATTGCATGGCTAGATACCTTAGCTTGTAGTAGCCTTTGCAAAACATTATTGTTCCGACTTTCTCTGACAATCAACCTATGTAATATAAAGTGTTACATGAAGCAACTCCTCACTGGGCTTCACTATTGTCATGTAAATCGTGTGCTTCACCGCGATATAAAAGGTCACTGACTATCCCAAAATGCATTGTTAACTGTTTGATTCTCTCAGTTTTATATGCTAGTTAACCTATATTATCTTGGTGCAGGTTCAAATATCCTTATTGACAATGAGGGAAATTTAAAGCTTTGGGATTTTGGGCTTGCACGGACGTTTTCTCAGGAGCCTGGAAATCTTACAAATCAGGTCATCAAATTGTGTTATAGGTATTATGCCTACAGTCGTCTCTACTGATGTCTCGGTTATTATTACTTTAGCTTAAGATTTGTTTTAACGTATTGCCTCGGCAGGCCCCCTGAATTGCTACTTGGTGCAAGGAGATATGGTCCAGCGATTGACATTTGGTCGGTTGGTTGCATATTTGCTGAACTTTTGAATGGAAAACCAATCTTGCCCGGGAGAAGTGAGGTCAGAGATCTTTTTTTGAGTTGTTTTGAGTATCTCTGGGTGTTCCACTAAGATCATTTAACTCAAAATGTTTGTATTTTCCAGTTTGGACAATTGAAAAAGATTTATGAGCTTTGTGGATCACCTGATGAAAACAATTGGCCTGGGGTTTCCGAGCTGCCTTGGTATAGCCGATATAAATCATCTCGGCCTATGAAGCGAAGCATATTAGAGACGTACAAACAGTAAGTATTGTTAACCGATTATGTTGTTGGGACTCTGTTATCAAGGAGATATCTCATTTTTGGGCTTGTTTCTCTCTACTGTTATAGCTTTGATGGTCATGCTCTTGAACTACTGGACCAAATGTTGGTGCTGGACCCTTCACAGGTACAGAGAAGTTATCGTCTGAAATATTAGTACATTGCAGAAATCGATAGCCCTGTTCTCGGCGCTTAAACTCCTTTCTGGTGCAGAGAATATCAGCAAAGGATGCTCTTGATTCTGATTACTTTTGGTGTGGGGCGTTACCGTGTGAGCCAAAGAGGTAAACATTGAAATGAAAACTCTCTTAGGTTCTTTGTTGTTGTTAATGAAAACTCTGTTTGGTTTGGTTCAATATGATCAGATTTTTTCATGTCTTTCAAAAACACAGTCTACCTTCATATGAATCATCACATGAGTTCCAGATCAAGAAAATGCAGAAACCGATGTGTCGTAACGGGAAAGCAACCAAGAAACAGAAACTCTTTTGAAGATGAAGGTGATGCATTGCCAGAGCCGGCCCTGGCTAGAAGTTAGTGAAGCATCTGCTTGGGGTCGGCGAAGACTTTATTAATTTTAGGGGCCGTTGATTTTACAAAAATCTTTAGTAGCTCCGCTGGTCAAGTCTGTATATGAGAAATTGGCCGGCTCTGTGCATTGCCTAGGCTTGTATAGTTTTGCAGGTTTTGAGGGACAAGTGATTGTTGAAGAAGAACTAAAGTGAGAAAGATTTGTAGGAGAGATTATGATAACTGTAGTTTTTGTTATTGATTAGACTTGTCCTTTCTTGATGTTAGTTGATGATCGAATCAAGATCCGATTTTAGTATTTGAAGCTCCAAATCTTGTTGAAGGTGGACAAAACTATACCTAAGGCCGAATCAAACCAAAATCACAACAAACCGAATCAAAACTAAACCGAGTTACAAGACACAAGTGATTGTATATAGTTTCAATTTTTCTGAAACCGAATTTTTTTATAAAAAAAAACTACCGGAAATCATATGTCCAATCTCAGTTAAAATTTCAATAAAATTTACCGTTGTAGTCTTGTAGATTTGTGGGGGAATTTTTTTTAAAAAAGGTTAATTTATTACTCAACTAATCATTTATCAAGATAATTCATGTAAGAACCGGTTTGTTTTTTGGTTCACTGTAAGAGCCGGTTTAATTAAACCCGGATAAAAAGCTTTAGGTTTCTCCGTGAAGCCGACATTGAAAGGGGCTAAAACCTTTGGATTAGCCGGAGAGGAAGGAGAAGAGAGCGACAAGGGCGAAACTGATCTGAGAAATTCTTCTGTAAATTGTGAAATTCTGTGTAAGAAAGAAGGAGGAATGGCGGTTGCGGCTTTTGGGCAGTTGAATCTCGAAGAGCCTCCACCGATTTGGGGATCTCGTAGTGTCGATTGCTTCGAGAAGCTAGAACAGATTGGAGAAGGAACTTACGGGTATACTTGTTCTCGATTTCTCATCTCTTTTGTATGGGTTTTGTTCTCTGATTCGCTCATCGTCAATTAAAATGGGTGTTTGAAAC